GCAGGGGGGGGGAGCCGGCATCACCCCGGGCGCCCTTCGCGCCATCCTCGCCAGGGTCCCCAGGGTCCCCCTGCAGGGAAAGGCACTGCAGTTAGAGGGTACTGCCCTGCCGCCGGCGCAAACGCCTGTGCTAAGCCCGTGCCAGAGCCCATGCTGAGCATCTCTGCTTATGCTGCATGGTTTAAGGGCGGGATAATAGCAAAGGTCTCGAAATACAGGCGCAGGCTGAAAAAAAGAGGTTGCTGGGCTCAATGCAGCTTCCAGGTAGCCAGATAGTGGTTGCAGAAGAATGCAATGAGCAGCGCTGCAGAGCCAGGAGCCAGCTGAGCCAGGGCTGGGGACCACAATACCATCCAGCACAGAGCACAGCCCGTGACCAAAACTGCCCCGAGCTTGAGCTGTCTCACAAAAGCAGAACACCCAGATCGTGGGGTACTGCTGTGGGACCCCTGCAGGGCTGGGGAGCCAGGAGCTTGCCCCTGCCCCCAGCATCCTGCTCCTGGTACTGGGCAGGAGCATCAGCCCATGTGCCCTCTCGATCCCATGTGCCCCCCGGATCCCATGTGCCCCCCGGATCCCACATGGCTCCCAGCTGTGGTGTGTGTCAGCTCCACCTGGCAGCGGCTGCTCTGAGCAGGGAGGGCTCGGTGCACCCAAGGGTCCCCACGCACAGGCAGAGCCCTGCAGGGGACAGCACAGGGCATCCTACCACCAGCATCCCAGGGGACCCACTCATTACCTTCTCACCCTTCTCCCCTACTCCTCCGATCCCCACGTCAACCTGTGGGGCAGAGAGGGGCTGTCAGAGCACGCGGGGCTGGGTACCACCCCATGGACAGGGAGAGGGGTAGAGGCAGAGCTTACGGTTCGTCCTGGAGGTCCGGGTGGCCCCTGAAAGAAGGGCGAGGGAAGTGGGTTAAGGGGAGGAGGCACAGCCCCGGGGAGGGCAGGGCTGGCTCTGGGGTGGAGGACAGGCATGTGGCCCCGCATCACTCACCGGCTCCCCACGGTCACCCTTGCTCCCTGGTGCTCCGGGGCTGCCCTGCAGGAAAGAGGGATGGGGTGAGGAGAGGAGGGGACAGGGGGCACGTCAGGTGGTGGGTCCTGTGGGGTGGTGGGTCCCGTGGAGTGGAGGGTACCCCTGGGGTAAGGGTGGGTGCGGGAGTGAGGTGGTGTGTACCGCCGCACACAAGGTGGTGCTCACATTCCTGCCTTCAGGACCTGGGTCCCCTGAGTCGCCCTTCTCCCCGGGGGGGCCGCGGTAGCCGGGGAGGCCCTGGGGGGAGGGCAGAGGGAGGGTGTGTGTTAGCGGGAGCCACCCCGAGGCCACTGGGCATCTTGCCCACCCCAGGGTGCCCACCAGCCCTGCACTTACCCGGGGGCCCCTGTCTCCAGGTTTGCCAGGCAGACCCGCTTCGCCCTGTGGGGACAGAGGGAGTGAGTGGGGGGCAGTGGGGAGGGGGACAGTGGTCCTGGGGGGTCCTCACTTACCGGGGTGCCTTCGTCACCCTTCTCTCCACGCTCTCCCTGCAGCACAGGTCAGCAGGCACCGGCCATGGCGAGAAAAGCACAAGTCACCCGTGTCCCCCTGCACCTCACCAGCCTTCCACCTCCTCGGAGCCAAAGTGCCCCAGAGCCCCCGGTCCCACCGCCCCCCTCGCCCCACGCTACCTCCTTGCCACGCAGCCCGGTCTGTCCTGGGGCGCCCGCTCTGCCCTGCTCCCCCTTCTCCCCCGGCTCCCCCGGGTCACCCTAGGCAGGAGGGAAAAGGAGCAATGGGTCAGGGCAGAGTGTGGGGAGCACGGGGGCTGCTGGGGGGAGAAGGGGCTCAGCACAGCCTCCTCCCACTCCCTAGGGCGGCATCACAGCACAGCCGGCAGGGACAGCCCCTCCAGACCCCAATGGACAGATGGATGGACGGACAGATGGATGGATGGACGGACAGATGGATGGACAGACAGACGGATGGAGGAGCAACGCCTCCCGCAGTGACATTACCTTTGGACCGCTCCTGCCCGTGAGGCCAACGATACCCTGGTTGTTGGAGAGGGAGAGTATGTGTCACCGAGGACCGGGGTGACCCCGTGCCAAGGACGGACTGGGGACGTGATCTGGTGCCGCTGGGGCAGAGCCTGGCCAGTTCCAGCCCCGGAGCACACCTGGACTCACCCGATCACCCTGCTCGCCTTTGGGGCCAGCCGGCCCCGGGATGCTCAGGCCAGGGGCACCCTAGACATGAAGGGACACAGCTTGGAGCAACGACACGGGCACGGTGAGCCCGGGGGCGGCTGTGTCATGCCCCCTGTGCTCCCTGTCCCCAGACAGTACTCACACGGGCGCCTTTATCTCCCACATCGCCCTTGGGGCCAGGAGGTCCTTCTGGCCCTGGGAAGCCTCTGTCACCCTGGAGCAGAGGAAATGGCATCATCAGCCCACCCAAACCACCCCCTTTCCCTCCACTGCAGCTGGGGACAGCCAGGTCTGGTGGCCAGCACAGGCATCCCCTCAGGCTGATGCCTCGCTGTGCTGTCCCCCTTCCCCAGCCCATGACCATACCCCACAGGGGGGCAGCGTGGGGCCAGGGGGCACGGCCAGGGCAGGGTTACCTTCTCTCCTCCAACACCAGCCACGCTGGGAGCCTGGGGGAGAAGCAGAGGGGACCACGCTGGGTGCTGCCCACAGGTCCCTGTCCCACGGCTGGGGCAGGGAGAGATGGACCCACCGCGGACATCACTTACCGGCTTGCCGGGTGGTCCCGGATCGCCCTGCAGAGAGAGATGGGTGTCATTGCTGGCCCATTCCTTGGCAGTCCCCCACCATCCCACCAGCATCCCACTTCACCCTCACCTTCTCCCCACGGGGGCCAGCCGGTCCCGGAGCTCCCTGTGGCGAGAGGAGACCTCAGGGGGCTGCAGTGTCTGGGGACGTGGACCCCCTGCTCCTGGGGTGCCAGGTCCACAGCACTGTGGCCACTGCCCTGACTTACCTCTCTGCCTGATGGCCCTGGGCGTCCCGGGGCTCCCGCCTCACCCTGCAGGAGGGAAGGAAGAGGAAGGTGTCAGGGGCATCCTCTCACCCCATGCCAGGGCAGCTGCTCCAGGGCAGGGCAGGCATTGCCCCAGCGTGGCCACGGCCACCCCAGCCCACCTACCTTCTCACCCTCGGGGCCTGGCACACCACGGTCCCCCTGCAGAGCAAAGCAGAGGAGGGTTTCAAGGAGCCTTCCTCCCTCCACACCACACTGCACCTTGCCCCAGAGCCCTTCAGAGCCCAGTCCTGAATCCCATCCAAGACCACTGGGCTCTGACAGTGACCCCTGTGCACAGCCACCACCGGGCTGCAGGGACACCAGGACCCACCAACGCTGTCAAATGGCATGGTGCCACTCCGGCGCGCTCTCACCTTCTCGCCCATCTCTCCCAGCTCGCCTGGCGCCCCACGGTCTCCCTGGTACAGAAGGAAGACAGGGTCAGGGGCAGCAGGACCCGCAGGGGATGGCACGGGTCCCAGCATGACACCCAGACCCCTTTTTCCCCGCTTAAGGCAAGGTGAGAGCATCCCTTTGGTACCTGCACCACTCACCTTCCTGCCCTGCTCCCCCGGCGGTCCCCGAGGGCCCTGCAAAGGAGGATGGAGAAGACGTCACCTCCAGCATGGCAGGGCAAATGCCTAGGCTGTCCGGAGTGGAAGCCCTCTGGGGTGCCCAAAGGGCTTGGCTCGCCAGCAACGCCAGCTCCTGCCCACCTCACCGTCTCTTGGGAAACTCACCCGGTCTCCTGGGTCCCCTGGGCGGCCGGGTGGCCCTGGAAAACCTTCTTGGCCATCGCCCTGGGGATTAGCAAAGGCAACAGCCATGCCCGTGAGATGCAGATGCCCATGAGATGGTAATGGGCATCCACGCTGGAGAGTGGTGCAGGGTCCAGCCCCAGCACGGAGCATCCCCACCACCCTCTTACCTTCTCTCCCTTCAGGCCGGGGGGGCCAGCAGGTCCTCGGGGCCCAGGGTCCCCAGGCAGGCCCTGCAAGAGAGCGCAGCTCAGCCCCTGGGGACGAAGCTCAGCCCCGGGGACACATGGCTGCCACAGCCCTGCTCCCCTCTGCCATCCCCGCTGGCCCAGGGGCTGAACTCACCGGGGGTCCAGGCTCCCCTCGAGGTGCTGCCCCGTCCACAAGTCCAGGGAGACCCTGCAGAGATAGGGGTCAGCTCCTGTGGGATGGCCCTGGGGGGGCTCAGTCCTTCCCAGCACCCTGCGGGGGCTGCACTGCCCTCATGCACCCACAGGACCTCCATCCAGGAGGGCAGAGGAGCCAGGGAAACGCGGAGCCACTCACCCTTTCCCCTCGGTCACCTTTCTCCCCCTGTGAGGATAAAAAAAAGCAAGTAAGGGCAGACCTGGACTCTTCCCATGCCCCCCTCAAACAGAAGGGGAACATGCTAGACAGAGCCCATCATCAGTGGTATCAGGGCACATGCATGCCATGTGCCTCTCCCCACGCTGCCCAGCACCAGCACCAGCTCGTGCATGTGTATGTGTGTGTGGGCAGAGCTGGTGGGGAGCACAGCCCATGAGCGGGACCAGGCGAAGCACACAGGGGAGCAGCTTCAAGCTGCTGGCTGTTCCTCCATCTGTTTGTCCACACATGCCCCCAGCTGTCCCCATGCAGCAGCAGGGGGGGATGTACCTTTACAAACTGTCCTGGAGGTCCTGGTGGCCCCACAGGTCCAAGCGGACCAGGGGGGCCTGGATCACCAAAGGGCCCCCGTGGGCCAGGGGTCCCAGGGGGGCCGGGGCTGCCCTAGAGGACAGAGATGCTCCATTAGCTGAGGCTGTGGCACAAGCTGGGGGTGGTGGCAGAGACCCCTTGGTATCACAAGTCCCATACCTACCGGCGTGCCCGGCTCCCCTTTCCTGCCTGGCAGCCCTTGTCCATCCACGATCACCCTGGGCTCTCCCTGAATGAGGAGCGGGAGGAAAAATCAGTGTCCCCACGTGCCCTGTTGTGTCCCCAGTGCAGGATGAAGGCCACAGTGCCACAGTGCCAGGAGGCCAGCAGGGAGACAGGGACACCCTGGGGACACCCAGAGACCAAGTACCAGGAGATGCCAGGGACTGAGGTGTGCCTGCCAGCGTCCCCGCTACTCCCCAGGGACCCCCATGGGGCAGCCCCATGCCCATCACCTACCGGCTCGCCTTTCTCCCCCTTCGGGCCAGAAAGTCCCATCGGCCCCCGTGTCCCCTGGAGAGGAAAGACAAGAATGAGGTGGGGAGCACATGGCAGGGAGTGGGGCTGAGGACGGATGGGGCCATACTCACAGGATCCCCTCGGGGTCCGGGGACACCCTGGGTGCCCTGGAAAACAACAGCTCAGGAGGTGAATGCGTGTCCCTGACAGCCAGGGGAGCAGGGATGGGATGGGGTGGGGTGGGGTGGGATGGGATGGGATGGGATGGGGTGGGATGG